TACGGCTCGTATGATACACTGCTGGATATGGCCTTCCATTATGGGATTGTAGACCGAATGCCACCATCATTTGCACATCTCTTATTAGCACTTTATGATGTTATATAGGTTATTTATGTGTAATTTATTATATTTTATTGTATTTACTGTTTTATTGTATTTTAATGTTTGCATGCCGCCTTGAGCCAGTTCCCTGGCAAGACGGGCTATAAACTGAAAATAATAAATAATAAATAAATATTATGATCTCTGGCTTCAGGAAAGGTTCTCCTGGCCCTCTCCCATATATTGGTTATCTCTTCTGTGTATTCCCGCTGAAGGACGGAGGGTGCTCTGCGTTGGGTGTCCTTTTGTCCAGGTGTAAAATTTAGCCACGTAGAGTTGCTGCCTGTATCTGGCTGTCTGGCTGAAGCCTGGGTCTATTCTCGGGCACTTGTGGCAATTGTGATTCATCAGCCATTTTAGGCAAATTATTCCATTGCTCAGCTGACCCAAACTGTTAGAAAAATGATTCCTAATGTGTCTCTCGAATTTCCTGTTTTTTAGTTTCAGGCCATTACTTCTTGCACCCCCATTTTTAGTGGCCTGAAATTGTTGGTGTAATTTTTTCCCAAAAAGAGCTCCCGTTGATATAAATGTTTCCTATACCACAAAAAGGTTCTCTCTCTTTTCCCCTTGTGCTTTCTGATTGTGTTCCGTATAGAGGTGTCAGGAAAAGTTGAGGTGGAGTTGGGGTCCAGAATGGTTTAGCGGCAGGTGCCAGTTCCCAAACAGTTGGAAGTTCCCTCGACTTTGCCCCATGAAGGGCGGATTCGCGCAACTACCACAAAGCAACTGGCGCGCTTCAAGCAGGGCATAATTTGCCTTTAGAATTAATTTGCCTGGGACGGAGCAATGGCCGCTGCATAAGTTGCTTTTAAAAAGCGTTATGAGAGTTTGCCCTTTCTGCTCGAAATGGAGCTTCCGTGCTCGGAAGCAGGGCGTCTTCTGATCAACAGATGCTGCGAACAAATGGCATGAACGCTGGCAGTCTCCGACTGGACCACCTTCACTGGGTTTCTTATGGTGGAGGCTGGGCTGGGTGTACCTTTGGACCCGGCTTGACAGAGAATGGTGGATCATAGCCAGTCTCTTCCTTAGCCCTTTTTGTAATGGTCAGCAGGAGGCGAAGTGTTTGTAGACCTGCTGCTGGTACTAAACAGGACTCTGTGACTCTGTCAGGTCCCCAGCTAAATCACGCTCCGCGCACACTATTGGCAGCGTAATGCTTTATTAGAGATATGCTGCTGTGGGTTCAAGAGCTTTTGTTAGGACTGAGGGAAACTGTGGGGACATACAGGACATACAGAAATTCCACTTTCACACACGTCATGCCTACCTCCTCAGCGTTTCTGTGGCAACACAGACAGATATATGTTGCCCTATCCTAACCTAGGCTGGCAGAGAGATACTCCAAGGTCAGTCCCACGGGAACCAACACTTGGGGCACCGCTTCAGAAAAGTGACAGCCGCTACTCCCATACACTCCAATAACACCCCCCCCCCAGGAATGGAACATGGCAAACGGAGGTGAGAAGAAACAGAACTTAAAGCAGAAGTGTCAAACATGTGGCCCGGGGGCCGGATCAGGCCCCCAGTGGAACGGGCTGTCTCCTGCTTCTTCTTCCAGTTCTGCTGCTGCATCATCGTAGGTTTGCAGCTTACAGACACACACCTGAACAGCATACTCAGGATTGCAACAGCACAGACATTTTGATGCAATAATTCAGAGCAAGAGGTGTCAGTTATCAGACAGTGTTAAATAAACAAAATATTGCAAGAGTGCTGATGTTTTGAGCATGTTTTTATTTTAAGTTAAAAAAAACCCCTTTGTGTCCTTTATAAAGTTTATATCTCCGCTACCTGGCATTACCTTTTATGACACGCATGGCCCGGCCCGACAAGGTCTCATTGACGTCAGATCCGGCCCTCGTAACAAATGAGTTCGACATCCCTGACTTAAAGAAATCGAAAGTTAGGCCTGTGAGTCCTGAGCTTGACAGATGCCCAGCTCCTTGTGCAGACGTCGTCTCACTGGGAATGGCTGAGTTATGCTTTCTGCAAGCTTCTTCCCCTTCTGGAGTCCCCCCCCCTTAAACGGTATTGTCTTCCTGCCAGTGGAGTTGACAGCAGTTGCTCCCCTCTTAAGCCTGGAGCACTGGAAGTAATTTGGGGGGAGTGGGGGATGCTTAGCTCCTCCTCCCAGGAGTCCCGCAGCCAAGCTCTCAAGTAGCCAAATGAGAAAAGTGTCTGTCGATTTTCCAGGCTGTGCTGTCTGTCGTTTACACTACAGGATGATTAATTACCTTTTCTTTCTCACGTGTGGATTCTTTCTGCAGATGGGATGGGGTGACTTAGGTGTGTTTGGGCATCCTTCCAAAGAAACCCCCAATCTAGACCGGATGGCTTCCGAAGGGATGCTTTTCCCCAGCTTCTACGCGGCCAATCCTCTCTGTTCTCCATGTGAGTAAAACTCCACACCCGTCAAGAAGAGTTGTGCTTGCTTTTAAGCCCGTCATGGGATGGCCGTGCGGGAAAATCGCTGCTTTTGTTGTTCAGCACCAAGCTTACGCAGCTTTTTACACAAGAGACATGTTTACTGAGATTGTGGCTGAAATGTGGTGGAGCTCCCAGAAGGTTCCCCTCGGAAGTGCTTCCTTGTCACCTCAGTTTTGCAAGGGACAAAAAAGGAGGGGGGGGAACTTAACCCTGAAACCTGGGATACAGAACCTAAAAAGGTAAGAATAGAGGGCCAACAATAAAAACTTAATTATATAGTATGAAAAGATACATGTATTTATTAACAAAGCATTAAGAAGCATATAAGGGCCCGATAACACCTCATGTAAAAATGCCAAAATTTAGCACACAAGGGCCAGTGGACTTGACCTGATACATTTCAGCCTGTATAGGCCTTCTTCAGAGGTCAAACATAATGAGGAGCATATTGGCTTATATCATAGTTCAATACAATCATATAATTATGTAACATAGATACAAGATGGACCAGAAAAGAATTGTTCCAAAGTGAAACCACTAGGCACAGAATAAAAGTACAAATGAGGCCTCCAAAGGTGTAATCACATGCTGAGTGATGTTTCCTTCGTGGCGTGGCGGCGGCATGAGCGGCGGAGCGGCGGCGATGGCGGAGAACATGGTGGCAGTTGGTGAGTCGAGCGAGAGAGCGGAGGCTGGGCTGGCGGAGCGTAGAGGCGGGGCGACGCAGCAGGCCAGAGTCGATTGGACAGAGGCTGGCTGCGGGAGCACGCGCTGTTAGTCACTTCCCCCATTGTATGTGTGTGTGGCCTTAGGTAGGAATTGTATCAAATGTATAATGTAAACCGCTCAGAGCCCTTAGGGGGTGAGCAGTATATAAATCGAAGGAAATAAATAAATAAAATTTCTGGCCCAGAAAGTGCCTTCCAAAGACTGTGTAGCCAATGCATCCTCAGTAAAGTTGTCCTTAAGCAAAGAGCTCGTTGCTAGATTTTGGCATTTTTACATGAGGTGTGATTGGGCCCTTATATACTTCTTAATTCTTTGTTAATAAATATGTATCCTTTCATACTGTATAATTAAGTTTTTATTGTTGGTCCTCTGTTCTGTTTGACTTACCCTTTTTAGGTTCTCTGCCTCAGTTTTGCAACCAGTAGTTCCTTCCAAGCACTTCTCCAGCTACGTGAATCATCGGCTCTACTAGACCAGTTGGGGAGCAGGCAGAGTGGAACAACCACACATCAGAACTGTTCTGATAGGATAGAACAGGCCAGAAGTGCTCTAGGAAAAGTAAAGCAGCTGAATTATATATACACACGTGTACTTTCATTTCTTCCCTTTTCCTTCTGCAGCCAGGGCAGCGCTGTTAACAGGTCGCCTCCCTATCCGGAATGGCTTCTACACCACAAATGCCCACGCCAGAAACGGTAGGTGCTTCTTTCCCCTTTCCCTGCAAACCACGCTGTAGTTCTGGCAAGCTGGTTTCCGGTGTTGGCTGGGTTCTTGATCCAAGCGCCCCTTTTAAGCACAAACCTTTGAAGGGGAGGGGCCATGGCTCAGCAGTAGAGCCTCTGCTTGCCATGCAGAAGATCCCAGGTTCAATCCCTGGCAGCATCTCCAGCGGAAAGGATCAGGCGGTCGGTGATGGGAAAGACTTCTGCCCGAGACCCTGGAGAGCCCCCGCGGGTCTGAGTAGATAATAGTGACTGTGAAGGACCGAGGGCCTGATTCCCTATCTTCTAGTCTCCAGTCCTAAGCACGGTTACTCAGAAGCAAGTCTTTACCAAACTGAGCGAAAGCGGCTTCCCAGTGAAGGCTTTGGAGTGGCGGTTGTGCAGACAGATTGGCCGGGTGCGCTGGCCCCACTTGCGGGGGCAAGTGTGAGGCTTCTAGCTTCCCACACGTGCAAAAAAGAGAATATCTCCAAATGTTCATGCCATAGTACACATGCCAGTACTCAAGTTGTGAATTTGCCTTTGCGCCTCCTGATAAAAGTAGTTGTTTTCTTGGCTGGGTTAATTAACATTCAGCAAAGTGTGTGTGTGTGTGTGTGTGTGTCGGGGTGGGGGGGAGTTGCCTGTTAATAAATGTAGGTTAACAATCTGTTTGAAATCCAGTCCTTGAGAAATATGTTCTTTCTGCTGAGCCAGGCAAGGGCATCTGGAGGGGCGCCACCAAGCTGTCCGCAGAGAGAACCGTGCTCCCGCTCTCCCATTGGGAGGCGCCAGCTCGAGCCGATCGGAGGCTGATCTGGTTGGTGTTAAGTGTCATTTGTTCCAAAATGGCAGATGCTGGAGGAGACCATATGTTTTTGAGCATGCATTTGCAGCTACGGATTGGTGCACGCTGCGCCTTGGCACGCGTGGGTGTTCATCTCTTCGCTGACGGAGGAGGGCGGCTTGTGCATTAGAAGCACGCGTTAACGACAGGAGGAATGCATCTAGCGATTTAAACCGGCTGGTAGCCTCTGGCCAGATCCCCCTGTCCTGTATGTTAGCAGCCTTCAGCCTGCCCAGACCCAGGATTTGCTCTCAGGTTGGGACCCACTGGGCCGCAAGCCTATGAGAGGAACTCATGTGTAGAGATGTAAAATTTCCGGAAATTTTGAAGCTCGGAAAAAACCCGTTTTTCCCCCAGTTTTTTTTGGGGGGAAACGGAAATTTTCGAAAAAAATGAAAAAAATGCTACGTTAGCATTTGGCACAGCATCACTGGAGCCAGGGCTAGGACTATGTATTTATTTATTGGATTTTTACCCCACCCTCCCAGCCAAAGCCAGCTCAGGGCGGCTTTACATAAAATCAAGACGTAATTTACAATGAAACGTAACTGATTTGAATTGAAACAAATCTAAAATCATTTAAACGATGCAACTCAATAAAGTGCTAGTAACAATAATTCCCGATGGCTGTGATGACAGAATCCACTCTTCTTATAGTCGGTTCCTCGATCTTCTCGTAGTTATCCTTCTGGCGACTAACACCAACTGTCATTAAAGTTCCGGGAGACTAGGGCTCTTTCACCTTCAGCTATCAGTTGTTAGTTGTTAACGGTGGTGGTTAGCGGTGTTAGCGGCGCCAAAAGCCTGGCGGAAGAGCTCTGTTTTGCAGGCCCTGCGGAACTGCACAAGGCCCTGATCTCCTCTGGGAGCTCGTTCCACCAAAGTGGAGCCGCCACCGAGAAAGCCCTGGCCCTGGTTGTTGGTGTGGTATAGTAATGTGACTGGGGCGTAGTTCCTAGCCACAGAGTTTAATGTATGACCAGTCACAGTCTCTCTGGCTAATGTAATGTCCTTCACAGAGAATGTTTTGAGGATAGAGGTGGTGGTGGGTGGGGTCATGTATGCCACCCTGAACTCTTTGGAGGAAGGGCAGGGATGGAGTAGATGAAACTGGCCTTAAAAGTCTTTGGGCTTCTGTGGCTCAGTGGCAGAGCATCTGCTTGGCATGCGGAAGGTCCTCGGTCCAATCGCCGGCATCCCCAGTTTAAAGGGCCAGGTAATAGGTGGCACGGAAGTTTATTAAAATCCAGAGCCCGGTTTATTGCCCCTTCTTTGATTTTGGTAGGAAACGTCTTCTCATATGCCCCCTTTCCCACCACACTTTTGACTGCCATTGTTCCCCATCCCAGTATATTCCACAGTTCACGTTTCAGGTCAGTCTTCAGCCACACAAAGCTGGACACAACTCCCTTCTGCCTGTATGGCGGAGCCGGAGGGCGGATTTGCAACACGGGCAAGCGCGTTTGCAAGACAGGCTCATGCCCCCTCTCCCTTTGCTCTCTTCATGTATGTGTGTTTCTAAACTGGCTGATTGTCTTCTTATTTAAGGCCTCGTGAATTAATGAGTCCTGCCCGCTAACCGAAAAGGGTGTTTTATGCATGAGCTGGATGGAAGCTTCTGAGAGGTCTCCCTGCAATGTATCCTAGTGTTTGGTGGTGGACTCTGTCCTCTGTCCTGCCGCCCCGTCCGTTCATCCGTCTTCCCATGCTTCTCATCTGCAGCTCCAAAATCCCATCCAGCATTTGAAAAGCCTCCGGGCTGGTCCAGTATAAAGCCCAGTTAATCACCGAGAACGTCTGTCTCCTGCTCACTAACCTGACTGTGGTGTTCTTGTCTCTGTGCAGCCTATACACCCCAGGAAGTAGTCGGGGGCATCCCAGATTCCGAACTGCTCCTTTCAGAGCTGCTGAAGAAAGCAGGCTATGTCAATAAGATCGTTGGCAAATGGTAAAGTTCTTTTCCGACTGCCTCCTCCGTGTGTGGCTTCCTTGATATATGGGGGAATCCAAGTCTGAGCCAGTTGGTTCAGTCTGTGATTCCTGTCTTCAGAGCACCCGGCAGGGTATCTCTCCCGCCACCTGCTGTGATTAATTTCAGAGCTGAGTACTGTCATATATAGAGAGCGAGAGCGAGAGAGAGCGCTATCTTAGATGCAGCATGTTGCACTTATTTTCATTACAAATCATAAAGCCCTCCTTCCGGCGCACATCACGGCCATCTTAAAATCTTTTATCTTTGGCCCCTGCTGAATGCCGATCTCTGCAGGTGTGGCACTTCTTTCCCAAACTGTAAGCTTCTCTTTTTTTGATTCTGCTTGAATAGCAGGGTTCTTTGGGTGGCTTCAGAGTTTCCCTCTCCCCCCCCTCCCCAAAGGCAAACGGACTGGTGCCGGAGTTGTCTTGAGGCGTCAGAGCCTAATCTAGGTGAGCAGAGGGCCAATGGAGAGCTCGCGAGCAAATATTGACCCGCAATCTGCCCGCGCCGTCTCCTACAAGCTCCTTTAAAAGAGCTAAGAGCCGGATCATTGAAATTGATGGCAGCCCTCCGTGGTGCTAGCGCAGGTGTTAACAAAGGAAATTGCCAGGCCTCTGAAAACAGTCCTTTTATATAAATCATGGTTGTTAAGAAAAGGCTCCTGGCAGCTGCGGAAGGAAGTGTGATTTCTGAGTCGCCGGGGAAGAAAAAGGTATAGACAGAGCAGGTGCAGAGATGTCCGTGTCTCTTCCCACTGATCTCCCCGTCTGTTGCCTGTGGTGAATTGTTTGGGTTTGTTGCCGAGAGGGAAATGTCAGTGATTTGGAACTGGGTCCCCAAGGGGTGGTGGTGGGGAGGTCGTTCCCCTGGAATTTTCCCTGTGTGCAGGGCCCATAGTGTGTGCCGGCCCCATCCTCTGCCCTGGACACTGCGTTTCCCTCCCATATTTTCTCGGCACTCGAGTATAAAAACCTTCTGAGCCTAATGAGTGCTTGGGGATAATGGTTTGGGAATCGTGGTATCAGATGTCATTTAAAATTATCCATCACTGGACTGAATCAGTAGCTGGATCTATCCAGAGGTAAAGAGGACAGCCTGGCATAAAGGGGATACTGAGCACAGATGATCCATGGATACGTTTTGCCTTTAATTTGGGGGGCAGAAGCGAAGGGCCAGGGGTGGCAGAGCGGAGGACCGGCTGGGCCTTGACCGGCCAGGCCAGGGCTCAGACCCTCACTCGGCCACGAGGCTCACAGGGTGACCTTGAGGCAGTTACCCTTTCTCTCCCTCGGGCTTGTTCGGAGATTAAGCGGTGGGGCTTCTCAGAGAAGGTAAAGGTAAAGGTTCCCTTGCTCGAAAGCCAGTCGAATCCGACTCTAGGGTTGCGGTGCTCATCTCCATTTCCAAACCGAAGAGCCAGCTCTGTCTGAAGACGTTTCCGTGGTCATGTGGCCAACATGACTAAACACCGAGGCGCACGGAACGTTGTTACCTTCCCACCGAAGTGGTACCTATTTATCTACTTGCAATCTCTTGCTTTTGAACTGCTAGGTGGGATAAAAAATGTCATAGACGAACAAGGCCGGATTCCAGAGGGTTTAGTCTGCTGCAGCAAAATCAAAAACAGCGACGTCCGAGTCCATTAGCAGGTATTCCCTGGAGTGTTGGCTCTTGAAAGCTTCTTTCTTGTTGGTCTCTCAGGACTTGAATCTGACAGTTAAACATAAGAACACAAGAGAAGCCAATGTCGGATCAGGACAATGGACCCTCCAGTCCAACACTCTGTGTCACACAGTGGCCAAAAACACCAGGTGTCACCAGGAGGACCAGCAGTGGGGCCAGGACACTAGAAGCCCTCCCACTGTTGCCCCCCCCAAGCACCAAGAATACAGAGCATCACTTGCCCCAGACCGAGAGTTCCTATAAGAACATAAGAGAAGCCAATGCTGGATCAGGCCAATGGCCCATCTAGTCCAACACTCTGTGTCACACAGTGGCCAAAAATACCAGGTGTCATCAGGAGTCCAGCAGTGGGGCCAGGACACTAGAAACCCTCCCACTGTCACCCCCCCAAGCACCAAGAATACAGAGCATCACTTGCCCCAGACCGAGAGTTCCTATAAGAACATAAGAGAAGCCAATGCTGGATCAGGCCAATGGCCCATCTAGTCCAACACTCTGTGTCACACAGTGGCCAGAAATACCAGGTGCCATCAGGAGGTCCAGCAGTGGGGCCAGGACACTAGAAGCCCTCCCACTGTCACCCCGCCCCCAAGCACCAAGAAGACAGAGCATCACCTGCCCCAGACTGAGAATTCCTGTCTATATAATTCTACTGCAGACCAACTGGGCTCCCCTCTGAAACCAAAATCAAGAAGGAGTCTCGTGGAACCCTAAAGCCTAGGTGATTTGTTGTGGCAGAAGCTTTTCTGGGTGGGACCCCGACTCCCGGTCCCTGAATGCCGCTCTCGATATGTCAGACTTTCAGGTGCCACAAGACTCCCTTCTGTTTTCAGGGGGTTTAGTTGGTGCATTTGACGGGGGTTGCGCACAAGCTAGTGAGACCCAATTGTTTGTCATCAGTAGCCCCGGCCTAGGGAGGAAGCGAGCTCACCTAGAGCAGTGAATTATTTATTGCCGCAGATCCAGCCGGCAGACTTCCCTCCGACAGAACCAGATCAGTGGGCTGCAGGCAATGGGTTGCAGCTGAGTGCTAATAAATGTAAATTCATACACCTGGGGAAAGGGAAGCAGCAGCACAGATACAGATTGGTTCCAGGGAGTGATCTGGCAAGCAGCGAGCCCTGAACAACCTCAGCGGCGGAGCGGAAAGCTAATTAAGTCTGAGCTTAAAGCACAGTTCCGCCTGCGAGCGCAGGAGGCCCCTGATTGGCTAGACCCCTGGCCTGGCACGTCAGCCTGTTTCTAGGGCCAGACGCTGCCACCGTGGAATGAGGGGGAGTCAAGGGTGTCCTACTCATGTGTCTCTGGCCACAGCAGTGGCTGGGGTGGGGCATGCGCCGAGGCATTTTCAGGGGCATCTTCCACGCGGAGCCCATCCAAATTCTGCACCCCAAAAGTTGAATCCTGTGGGACGTGAATCATGCACGTCAAGTGTAACTCTGGAAATCTCACAGGGCATTCTCTTCTTATGCTCTGAGCGGTGTCTTATTTCCAGATGCTGGGGGGGGGTGTTGTCTGGGGGGGAAGCGAGCAAACAAAGAGACCTTCGTGCAGTGGGGTAGGTTAAGAAGGGCAGATACGCGAGCAGGGGCTTGAGGCCAGCGTCTCAGTCTTTGGCTGCAGTGCATCAGTGGCTCAGTGCTCAGTGCTCCTTAGTTTCTTCCAGAGGCTGCCTTTTTATCACTTTCCCAAGCAGGGCCAATGAGGTGACCGATCCTCTCTGACAGATACCAGACTGTCTTCTGTTCTTTCTTTTTCTAGGCATCTTGGCCACCGGCCCGAGTTCCATCCCCTGAGGCATGGGTTCGATGAGTGGTTCGGATCCCCCAACTGCCACTTTGGGCCTTACGATAATAAAGGCGCTCCAAATATCCCCGTGTACAGGGACTGGGAGATGATTGGCAGGTAGCCGCTTTTTGGTGGCGTGGCCACCATCTTTGCTTTGCTTCCTTCCTGGTTTTGCGTGAGTCCGTCCTCCTGCCCTTTCTCCAGTGGAGCACGAAATGCTTGTTTTTGCTTTCGGTTCTAGTAGAAGGCCAGGAAGCGTTGGCTTCTGGATTTGTTAATAGCGGCTGCAGAGGTGAACCGATGCAGACACCGCCTGAAGTGCACACTCAAGGGGCATGCAGCCCCCTCCAAAGAGTGTGCAGAACATGTGTGGAACGTGATGCATTAACAACAGCGAGTTTGCAGAGTTAATCATTTGGAAGTTAGGAGAGGCCCAGTCCCAGTCTGCTGGCTCCTACAACAGCACCAGCCAATATTGCTTTAAGATCAGTTCCGAGGGGCACTTTGTCATTTCCTTTTTCCCATATGGAAATCAAATGCAGTGCCATATAAGCGCGAGAGGCACTTAAAAACGCCTCTAATGGGCTTCTAAGCTTTGGAAGAAGTGGGTCTCTTGTCAGGAGAGCCAGTGTGGTATCCCGGATGGAGTGTCGGAATGGGGATGTGGGAGGCCAGAGTGCAGAGCCCCGCTCTGCCATGGGAGCTTCTTGGGGGACCAAGGGCCAGTCAGGTGCTTTTAGCCCCACCTACCTCACAGGGTTGTTGTAAGGATAAAAGGGAGAAGGGAGAGCATGCACACCGCCCTTAGCTTCTTGGACGAAGGATGGCATGCGAATGTTCTGGGCACATATGCAAGAAAGAAACCATGCTTGAAGTTTGTATAGGAAAAAGGAACCTGGATGGTTTATGAGCAAAGGTATTTGTGGCCACAACCGTTGTGCCTGTATTCTTTCTGCTTTTTGCTGCTTTCCCAAAGGTATTTGTGGCCACAACCATTGTGTCTGTATTCTTTCTACTTTTTGCTGCTTTCCCAAAGGTATTTGTGGCCACAACCGTTGTGTCTGTATTCTTTCTGCTTTTTGCTGCTTTCCCAAAGGTATTTGTGGCCACAACCATTGTGTCTGTATTCTTTCTGCTTTTTGCTGCTTTCCCAAAGGTATTTGTGGCCACAACCGTTGTGTCTGTATTCTTTCTGCTTTCTGCTGCTTTCCCAAAGGTATTTGTGGCCACAACCGTTGTGTCTGTATTCTTTCTGCTTTTTGCTACTTTCCCAAAGGTATTTGTGGCCACAACCATTGTGTCTGTATTCTTTCTGCTTTCTGCTGCTTTCCCAAAGGTATTTGTGGCCACAACCGTTGTGTCTGTATTCTTTCTGCTTTTTGCTGCTTTCCCAAAGGTATTTGTGGCCACAACCATTGTGTCTGTATTCTTTCTGCTTCTTGCTGCTTTCCCAAAGGTATTTGTGGCCACAACCGTTGTGTCTGTATTCTGTCTACTTTTTGCTGCTTTCCCAAAGGTATTTGTGGCCACAGCCGTTGTGTCTGTATTCTGTCTACTTTTTGCTGCTTTCCCATGGAGTTAAGTTCTTGTTCACTAGAGTGAAAATCATTGCCTGGTCCTGAAAACTTGTGGAACGCATTTTCTTGCTGTATTTGTCTTTTAGGTATTACGAAGATTTAAAGGATTTCATTAGCAGGCAGCGCGCCAGCCAGCAGCTGTTCTTTCTGTACTGGGCCATCGATGCCACTCACGCACCCGTGTATGCCTCCAGGGAATTCTTGGGCACCAGCCAACGAGGACTGTGAGTCTCTTTTTCAGTTGGAGATCCCTCCTGTAGCGCCAGAAGAAAAACAGAGCCCTGGTGCTTGGCCTGAAATGATGCAGGTCCTCCTACTTAAAAGTGTCTGTGTGTGTGTGTGAGAGAGAGAGAGCGAGACTGGCATGAAATAGCGGCAGATGCCTGAAGAGGACTCAGCTTAGGTAGAACACGTCTCTTCTTGCCCTCTGAAATCAAGATCTAATGGCAGGAAGTAATAGGCTTGGCCAACCCTTGGACCAAGATGGGTTGCCAGCAGGCCTGGAGAAAATATCACGCCCCATTAATAGAGTCTCCGTGTGTGCAGATGGGCCGGAGACGCTTTTCGTGGTATGGAGGCTGCTCACACCACCGGATAAATAACAACCCATCAAGCCCCTGTTGAAGGAACAGGACATTTTTCTCCAGACCTGTGGGCAGCCCTGCCCCTTGGAACAAAATACTCTGGTACCTGAGCAGAGCCGAGAGGAGGAACCTTCTAAGTCTGGGGGCAGAGCCCAAAATGATTGGTTCGGGGACAGAGTGCAGTGCAAAAGCTGCGTGTCCAGCGGAGCCAGCGGTGAGCATGTTTTTCAGCCTGAGAGTCACATCTGGGTCTCTTGACAGGTCTGAGGGCTCCAGGTTGGATCCTGGGCCTTCCAGGAATGCTGGGAGAGGGGGAGGGAAACTGGGCCATAGGTGGACCACCCCCCTCAAATCCTCAAAGCTGTTTTCCCCCCCCTGGACCTGGAAATGCACTGCCATTGTCTTGGGGTTGGCCCGCTGATAAGGAAAAGGGTGCCTTTGAACACGTGCAGAGATCCCGTCCTTCACCAGGTTTTTTTGGTGCTATGTTTATTTCAGTTTTGTTAACAAATGTCTACCCCTCCCTTCCCCCCCCCCCGACATGGCTTCCCACAGTGCTACAACCTCCTGCAAAATTCTTAAATTCCTTCTTCCTTCCCTTTATCATTATAAGTTCAATAGGTAACTGATCAGGAAAAGGGTGCCTTTGAACATGTGCAGAGATCCTGTCCTTCACCAGGTTTTTTTGGTGCTATATTTATTTCAGTTTTGTTAACAAATGTCTAAAAACAGTACTAGTGTAAGGCAGCAGATCCAAACATGAAAAGGTGACTTAAAGGCGAAGAAACAACCATGCTAACAGTTTTAAAAAGAAAAAAAAAAATCTTGGCTTATGCCCCAACAGAGGGATCTGATAGGAATCCTAAATGTTTTTCAATGGAGGGAAATGACAACAAGTGGAATCAGCCTGTCACGTAGTAGTCGAGTGGCCTGGCCACTTGTCATGATCTGTGTAAAACTGGGAGACGCCTAGAGGCCTAGGCCCCAGGAGACCTGTGTGGGAGTGGAAAGCAGACACAGCCTACAATCCCCACAATCCTTAGTGACGGCTGTAACCAATCGGTGTCCAGGGATTGTGTGAGGCGATTGTTACTTATACTTTGTGGGCTGTGGAACTGCGGTTCTTTCTCTTCTGCGTTCTTTCCTCTCACAGAGTTAAACTGAGGGGACAGTCTGGTCTGAGAGAAAGATCCCTCACTTGGGGCAGAGTGAGTACAGGCACAGACTTGGTATAAAAGGCTGTGGGCCTTGAATAGTAGCCCATTAGGAGAAATAGGTAGTCGTGTTAGATTTGTTTATTTTCCTTTTTGACACTGTTACGTATTTTAAGCACCTTGTCTTGTATTCCTTGCCCCAGTACTGTGTTAATAAACCATTTGTTTAACATTCTGTGCCTGGTCATCACGCCTATGTTTCTCGGCTTAAAAGGGGCAGTTTGGTTGGGCTTGGGAGGGTACTCTGGGCCTTCCCAAGGGGCCCTAAGTCCAGAGTGGTGGCAGAGGAAGGTGGCAACCCGCTGGGGGTCATGACACCACTCATGGGGCAGTCTCCTCCCTTCCCCTTTGCCCAGGCTGTGCAGATACAAAGACACCCCCCCCCCGCACCTCCCAGGACCCTTCGTTGGAGTTTCAAGTTGCTTGCACTTTAGTCATTTGTTTATTTTCCTTTTTGACACTGTTACGTATTTTAAGCACCTTGTCTTGTATTCCTTGCCCCAGTACTGTGTTAATAAACCATTTGTTTAACATTCTGTGCCTGGTCATCACGCCTATGTTTCTCGGCTTAAAAGGGGCAGTTTGGTTGGGCTTGGGAGGGTACTCTGGGCCTTCCCAAGGGGCCCTAAGTCCAGAGTGGTGGCAGAGGAAGGTGGCAACCCGCTGGGGGTCATGACACCACTCATGGGGAAGTCTCCTCCCTTCCCCTTTTCCCAGGCTGTGCAGATCCAAAGATCCCCCCCCCACCTCCCAGGACCCTTTGTTGGGAGTTTCAAGTTGCTTGCACTTCAGTCATTACAGAGTTAAGTGTTGTTTGTTAGGACACTGTTACATTACATAATGTATTCAACAGCGGGAAAGTTTGTGGGAGTTGCTTACCCTAATGAAGTGACCTGTAACCTTTGTATTGGTCAACTAACAACTTGTTTGAGGAAATGCTTTGATCTAGCATTAATGTATTCACAAGGTTTATGGCTCTTTGTGTGAAGCAGACAGGAAGCTCCCCTCTAGAAGCGAGATAGATAGAAAGATGTAGCTGTTAGCATAGTAGTACTGAAAGTAACTGCAAGTATGTAACCTTTTCATTTTTTCTTTTATCCAAAGTACCTTACCCATGCTTTATTTTGTTTTGTAGTAAAGATATTTTTCTTTTACTAAGTGTGGCTCTTGTGTTTGCAAAACGACCATCGATCTTGAATCTCAGAATCCCAACACCCTTTCGCATTTTGCCCTTGAGACCACTTTCCCCAGGATCCTGGGCTGCTTTGCTCTGAGGAAGACAGGGGCAATCTTGGGTCGAGTGCAGATGACCTGCCTGGAGCACTATGAATAATGAAAGGCTCTTTGCCCAGGCAGAAGGGCCCAGCTTAAGTGGAGTCTGTCTTTTAAAAGACCCCTAAAGAATTGTGTGTGGGGGGGTGAGGGCTGGCCATTTGCAAAGGAAGAGGCGCAGCTTCCTGGAGTCCCGCTGCCCCCTCTGGGGAAGGAGCTGCTTTCTTTGCTGGGGTTGTCACTCGTGGGCGCACGCCTGAAAGAGTAAGCGGCAAAGGAGCCAGTGCATGCATATGTTGGGGACGGGCTGTGGCTCCGTGGCAGAGCATCTGCTGGGCGTGCAGAGGGTCCCAGGTTCCATCCCCAGCATCTCCATGTGCCAGTCTGAGTAGACGATACTGACGAGCGAGTGCGGAGTGTGTGACTGCGCTATCTTCGAGGCCGTAACGCTTCCGAAGAAGTCTTCCTCTCTCCCAGAGGATCGTCCTTGAAACTTTTGGTGCCAACCCGCTTGTGTAGATAATGGGATTGTATATTTCCCAGATGAAAGGGGGGTAGGAACGCTATGGCTAGGCAGGGTGGATGTGACGTGTGAGTGGCCATTAGGAGGGGTTTCATTTGAATTACCTATATCTATAATTGAGGAGCTGCGGTGGCTCAGGTGGTTAAGACGCTGAACTGCAGGCTGTGGAAGGTCGGTAGTTCAGCAGTTCGAGACCCGAGTGTGCCACGTGATGGAGTGAGCTCCCGTCTCTAGTTCCAGCTCCTGCCAACCGAGCAGTTCGAAAGCAAGAAATTGCAAGTAGATAAATAAGTACCACTTCGGTGGGAAGGTAACAGCGTTCCGTGCGCCTTGGTGTTTAGTCATGCCGCCCACATGACCACGGAAACGTCTTCAGACAGCGCTGGCTCTTCGGCTTCAAAACGGAGATGAGCACCGCAACCCTAGAGTCGGACTCGACTGGCTTTCGAGCAAGGGAACCTTTACCTTTTATGATTGCACCCTCCTAAATCTTCAGTTCCGACATGGTACTGTTATGACCTGGATCTTGCTTCTAACTGAATAAATATATCACTGCCAAGGAGGAGTGTGGTTGAGAATAACTTGACCAGGAGTCTGACAGGCAGCAGTGCTAGTCTGCAGAAGAACAACCTGATTCAGGTCCAGCAACCCCTTAGGTCTTTAAAGTGCCACTGGATTCAGATCTAGCTAAACGAGGTCTGTCTTCCCAAGTCAGGTCGGGGCTACTGTGTCAGAGGCCTCAGCGAATGTGCAGTAGAGTTGCCTGCATTTGGTGATGGTAAAGGCACTTTTTCTGTTTCTAAGTACTAAAAGAAAAAAGTAGCCTGCTGACCTCTTAGTAGTAGGACTGGAAACTCTGGCTAAAAGAAATTCCTGAAGATTGGGGAGGGGAGGGAAGAAGAAGAAGAGACGATTTATACCCCGCCCTTCACTCAGAATCTCAGACCAGCCTACAAACTCCTTTCCCTTCCCCTCCCCACAACAGACCCCCCCCCGTGAGGTAGGTGGGGCTGAGAGAGCTCTTTCAAGAACTGTCGTTGAGAGAACAGCTCTGCCAGAACTATGGCTTGCCCTAGGTCATCCAGCAGCTGTGTGTGGAGGAGTGGGGAATGAAACCCGGTTCTCCCAGATTAGATTAGAGTCCGCGCATTTAACCACGACACCAAACTGGCTGTCAATGGGGATATGAGGCCATAGAGCAGACATGTCAAACATATGGCCAGGGGCCAGAACCAGCCCCTCCAGGGCTTTTATCCGGCCTGTGAGCAACTGATCGGAAAACCAGTCCAAATGTGGACCAGGAGGGCCTATATTAGGGTATTATACCTCCTGCTGAGGCTCCTCCCTTCCCCAAATGCAGAGCCTCCCCAGGGTCTTCCCCCGAATCTCCAGGGACTGCCCAACCCAGGCATTACATTTTATGGCACCCATGGCCCGGCCTGACAAAGTGACATTTATGTCAGATCCGGCCCTCGTAACAAACGAGTTCGACACCCCTGCCAATAGAGTCTGCCCTCCGAAGTGGCCGTTTCCTCCAGGGAAACTAACCTCTGTAGCCCGTAGATCAGTTGTAATCTTGGGAGAACTCCAGGCCCCACCTGGAGGTTAGCAACACAGTCTAGTAGGCACAGGCCCTCCCACGCGATCTGTGCTCTATCCTTCGTACATCTCAATAAATCTGAACGGTCTTGAGAACGCTCCTTTCAGACTTTTCTGAAAAATGGCTTAGGATGGCAATTCCCTTGCATTTTCTCTTCTCACTGTATTTCACAGGTTCTCGCTTTTTATTTCCTTCAGGCACCGTCAGTGTGAATCAGCCACTTGCCCTTTGTTATTTTGTTCACAAGTCCCCCCCCCCGAAAAAAGTCTGGGGACTGGGAAATGCAGGGGTGAGAGAAACGTGTAGGCGGAGCCTCTGCCTCTCTCTGTGATGGTGGGCAAGTCTCCTCTTCCTGGCCTTCAGCTGTGAGACCCTTGCCCCTGCAGGCCAGCCGCTGTCTCGGGCTACCTGGCCTGCCTCCAGGGAGATCTGTCTCTAGCTGAGAAATTGACATGCTGCTTGTGACGACCCCTTATCTGGGGAGGCCTGGTTTCACTTTAAGAGTGTTCTTTTTATTTTGTTATATTGGGGATATCCGGCTGCCACCAGGAAATTTAAGGCTTTCCAAACCTTTATATTGTACTGTTGCTTTATACATTCAACTTTTCTTCATACACAGAACTTAACTCTTGTATCACACTGTATCTCCCAGACCTCAGAATGAACAAACTTATCAACTGTCTTCATCAACTGTCCAACCTGCAACTCTAGACTGACATCCTTACTCATCCACTCCTCCACTCATTTTTCACTTCCAAAACCCCTCCCCCTTTCTGCTAATCACCAATCACACCACACTTGCCTGTTTCAACCACTAGACTATCTCTCACAGCCATGCAACCAAACTTTTAAAGCGACACACACACATATAAGACAAGGAATCGTTACACTGCTGCTAAGCCTTTTACTCAAGGACCATTTCCTAACGATGCAAATTGATGGAAATTAATTTTTTTTAATGTTTCTGGAAAACTGGTTTGGACATCGGTTGCCTTACCCACTGCCTGGGGAGGGAATCGTGGCTTTGCCTTATCCCCCCCCCCGCTTGTGTTTCTCGGTCTCCAGTTGCAACGGGTTGGTCTGTCCTTCATCTCTGTCAAGCTCAGTAGTATAAATGAGTCAGTCGAGGCTGATAGGGCAGTCGCTCTGTAGCCTAAAAGTCCAATTAGGAAGATCAAGGTGGGGCAGCCGTGTTAGTCTGAAGCATCAGAACAAAGTCCAGTCAGGCACCTTTAAGACCAACAAAGTTTTATTCAAGGTGCGAGCTTTCATTTGCACGCAAACTTCGTCAGACGAAATTTCATTGTCTGAGAAAGTGTGTGTGCACGTGAAAGCAAACTTAGGTGTCTGATGTCATGAAGACTCATCAGTGACATCACACTAGTACTGTAGATCCCTGTAGGCAGGCGGATGTCTAGAATGGGGGCAGAAGTGGCCCGTGCAACGTTCAGCAAGGGCTTTGGCAAAACTCAGGACGACAGTCTGTCTAGAACAGGCGCTTCCGAGCTTTTATTTCTTCCAGCTTCTTCATTTTGTTCAGCTAGTAATTACCTGATTTTGTCACTCTTATGTTCTCTTTTTCCAGGAGGTAGCAACGGTCCCTTTCTATGCGGCAAAGAAACAACCTTTGAAGGTGGCATGCGGGAGCCGGCAATCGCCTGGTGGCCGGGGCATATCCCTCCTGGGCAGGTGAGAGTCCGGGACTGCATGCCTTCCTGCCAGTCTACTCGGAACGTCAGGGCGCCCAGTTTAGGTCGGAACTTTGATGTGTTCTGACCGGGAAATGGATTGCCTGGTCTCCGTGATGCAGACGAGCCCACTGCAGTGCTTGAATTGTGTACCTGTGATGGATGCTTTGCTCAGGAGGGATTTAAGTGAGACTGAGAGTCCCTTCCTCACAATCTGTGTTAATTAACCCATGAACGGCAATGAAGTATCCTGCCCCAGGGCTCCATTGTCTCTTGCAAAGCCAGCCTAACACACACACACACAATCCCAGAGTCCTTTTCTGCCTCTAGCGATGGGTCTCTTGGAAGAAGGGCTGGAAGGGACAGCAAGAGATCGTGGACTCGTGAAGCTGCCTTACGCTGAATCAGAACATCGATCCATCAAGTTCAGTCTTGTCTACTCAGACTGGCAGCTGCTCCCCAGGGTCTCAGGCGGAGGTCTTTCACATCACCTACTGCCTGGTCCTTTTAACCGGAGATGCCGGGGATTGAACCTGGGACCATCTGCATGCCAAGCAGAGGCTCTGCCACTGAGCCACGGCCCCTCCCAACACAGATGAAACATAAAGAATCAGACCGTTGGTCCATCGAGGCTAGTCTTGCCTACTCAGACTGGCAGCTGCTCCCCAGGGTCTCAGGCAGAGGTCTTTCACATCACCTACTACCTGGTCCTTTTTAACTGGAGCTGCCAGGGATTGAACCTGGGACCTTCTGCATGCCAAGCAGATGCTCTGCCACTGAGCCACACCCCCTCTTTACAGCCCTCCAGGGTCTCAGGCAGAGGTCTTTCCCATCACCTCCTGCCTGGTCCTTTCAACTGGAGATGCTGCTGGGGACTGAACCTGGGACTTAATGCATGCCAAGCAGATGCTCTGCCACTGAGCCACACCCCCTCTTTACAGCCCTCCAGGGTCTCAGGCGGAGGTCTTTCCCATCACCTGCTGCCTGGTCCTTTTTAACTGGAGATACCACCAGGGATTGAAAGTGGGACCTTCTGCGTGCAAAGCGGGTGCTCTCCCACTGAACCACAGGGCTTCCCCTGAACCACAGGGCTTCCCCTGCTGCTCCTCCTGCTGTTTGGATCAAGGTCTCAGAACTAGCCCAAGCAAATGTTACCCTGCTTGTTCTTAAAGGTTTTTTTGCTGGAGATTCCATTGCCCATCAAGGCAGCCTTGCCAGTCTGCCAGCGGCCTTACGTACAGAGAGGGCCTCCTCTTGGGACAAAGGCTTTTCAGTGAGGATCTCCCGTTCCCCCTCCCTGCAACCCCCACACCTTTGTATATTGTCCACCAACCCTTGGAGGGTGGGGCAGGATTTATAGGTTGGTCGTGACCGCCACAGGAGGACCCCGCAGATGGGCCTTTGCGGCCTACACGAGGGTCCTGACCCCTGGGTTAAAGGCCGTGTGTCCAGTGATATGCTGCGTGCTTTTAACTAATTGTACCCATGTCAGATGTTGGTGCTGCAGTTCCCTTCTGGGGACGCTCAGGCTGCCGACTGGAACTGAACCACTCGAGCCAGGCATTTGATGTGCATTAGGGGAGCAAGTTCTCTTTGCCCGACCAGGGTGGCTTCCCCCTGCCTGCGCGCAGAAGAGAGTGATTCTGAGCTCTGAAATAACCAGCGGGTAGCTATCCTCAGGTGGCCATACCATTGTCCCGGTCTTCATTGACTGCGAAGGCAATCAAGTCTGCAGGAGGCAGGCTCCTTTTGTAAATGATGGGTGTTCTCTCTCTTTTGAGGATGTCTTCATTCCAGAGAGAAGGAACTATTCACGGAGCCGGACTCTTTATAAATCCCTTTGTGCTCCTGGACAAAGAAAACGTTTAGTTTCTAATTTACATCTCCTTTCAGGGCTTTTAATTAAACCGGGAAGAAGGCACTGTAGAAATGACACGTTGACTTAAAGAGACCGCTGCCAGATAGGGATGAGCACAGCATATCAAGCAGAGGGGTGGTTTTGGTTTGTCGTTTTTTAACAAGTGTCACACAGGGTTCCGCAGGAGGGCTCCTTTAAATGTCTTTTGGTGTCTGTTAAGGCCCCCTCCCGGGGAGTTTTGGCAAGCGAGGGTGATACGGCTGGCCTCTTGGCGCCACCCGAAAGCGGCGCCGAATATTCCTTTGCCGTGCTCATAATTGCCGGGACCAATGAAAGATTTCAGGAAGCCGCAGAATCCTGGTGGGGCTCCTCAGATCTGCCTAGCCTCTCTCCCCGTTCTGACGACACCTCCTCCATTTGATTCCGTGAGGGATGCTGCCATCAGCTCTCCCGAGCCAGCTCCTGACAACCCATAAAAGGTCTGGCCAGGACGGGAAACTCTGTCGTAAGGTGCCAGGAGATTCCAGCTCGGTTTCTTCTAAACATAAAACTTGTGCCCTGTTGTCTCCTGTGTGGGATTGTGGCAGCAGCCCTCTCCCCAAGTGAACCTGGAACTGCGGATGCTGGCAGCTCTTTCCTCTCTGCCTCCTTGCCTCCAAGACTCCACTGCTCTGAAGCCTCGTAGTGCTCCCGAGGCAGGTGAGAGGGGAAGGGGCTGCTCAGGGTTCCTGCCCCGGGTCAGCCCTGTCTTTGTTTCTGGCACATGCATGATTCTTGTAGTGCTTTCCTCTCGCTCGGTCTCTCTTTTAAGGGCCTGTCGCTGAGATGCTGGGGTCTCCTCTCTCTCTCTCTCTCTCTCTCTCTCTCTCTCTCTGTTCTGTTTTTGTGGAATGCACTTTAGAGGTTTTAGCTGCTTATCTCCTGAATTGCGTCATTTAGTCCCTGCTTTGCGGTGCGTCAGTGCCTGGCTGATGTTGCTCCCGGCTGACCGCCCCTGCAAGCACCCAGGGATTGGTGGGAGTTTAAGCGGCTCGGTTTTTCGCTCGTGGAAGAGGGGCACACAGTCCCCCAGGTTCACCCTGTATCCTGCCATTGTGGGTGCCGTGTTTGTTTTTTCTCAACTCTCCCCCCCCCGCTAGCTGCTTTTTCTTCTTCACCTGAAAATAAAGATTTACTCTCCTTATCCGTCCAAAAACCCTTTTCTGCCTGTTTTTTCTCTCTCTCCCTTTTTTGGGGGTCTGTGGAGGATTCCAGCACAACACAACAAGGCCTGAGGCTCACTGTGGTCAGTGGGCCGAAGCTCCGCCTTTGGTCTTTAACTCGTCCTTGGAGCAAAGAGAGGCTTCCAAGCGGGTGTTTTGTCAAATGAGGTTGAGAGAAAAGCACGTCCCCTTTGCACCCTTCCTTGTATAATCTAGTAAAGGTGAAGGTGTGTATTCTTTGCACCAGGGGTCATTTCGTAGAAAAAGAGGTGCAGGAGCTCATTAGCGTAACTCATTAGCATAACTTATTTGCATATGCCACACCCCCTGACATCACCGGAAGTGTGTCAGAAGGCAACACCCACCGCTCAGGCTCCACTGGACTGTTTTGGATTGCTAGCTATTGGGGTGGGGGGACGTGCAGATCTGTCTTCGCAGAGGAGGGAGAGCTTGTACCTGAAGGCGGGCCAGGGTGGGGGCACTGCAACTTACCTGGCTGCTTCTTGCTCCTCGTGGCCCGACTGAGGGCTGCTGGGAGCAGGGGTGGGGCTTGTTGCATGTGCCTGCCTCCTGGGCTCCTTACTGCAGGAGCTCCGCTCCTGTGCGCTCCCGCAGGAAATGACCCCTGCTTTGCACTGAAGAAAGCCCAATGTATACATGATGTTTTTGCAGATTGCAAATTTGTCTCTCTCCCCCTCCCCCTCTCCCTCTCCCTCTTTGGTTTTGCTTGTATGCAGCATTTAGAAAGCTTTGCCAGCCTCTGGGCTGGTAAAGGGCAAAATGGGAGTGGATGCTTGCTTTGGGGATCACAGGGCTGTAGTCGCCTTGCCCCCGGCCGATAGCCCTAGAAAGCTCCGTGCCAGGGGACATGACATCACTGGGCTTTTTGAAGGTGGCAGCCATAAACCTTCTGACATAAGGAGTGGAACATTTGCTTCTTCTTTGGAGAAAGGCTGAGGTTCTCAGAAAGCGCGCCCGCGTTGCAGGAGTGTGGAGTGCGCGGCCTGACATAGCGACACGGCGCTTGCTCAGGGTATTCCGTTAAAGGAAGGTGTTTGAACAAAAACCCTAAAGGCAGTTATGCAACAGGATTTGTCTGAGTGTGCGGATCTCACTTTTGGGTCACCCCTGCACTGGCCTTTTGTGAACCGCAGATGTTTTGATTCTCTTTCGTTCAAGCTTAAGGTACGGAGCATAGTTACGTATCCTTCCTGCAGTTCTCTCCCCCCCCCCTCCCCTTTTGGCTGAGCATTCCAGGTGAATTCATAAGCCGTGAACAAAGTTTCCACCTTTTCCCTGGCATGCTGCCCCCGCTTTCTAGAAGGATCCAACTGGCAGGAATTTGTATTCTGCAGCTCTCTGAATCCTCCTTTCTCTCTCTGCCCCCCCTCTCCTCTTCCGCTCCCCCCCGCCTCCCCACCTCCCTGGCTCTGCTCCCTGAAGGAGAAAAGAACATATCAACCCAAAGACAGCGTTGCAACCTTTTCTCCACTATCTCCCACAGGGCACAAATTGAAATTGAATTAGACAGGGATATCAGGTCTGCTTGCTGTGATAAATGTAAAAGGATTTTATTTAAAAACACCCTGACATTTGTTCACCCAGTTTCAAATATTTAGCTTTCCTCCTTTCCATTCCTGGCGGGGGCAACTTTATTAATTGTCGCCTTTGATTCAGAGTTAGAGCTTGAAAGCGCTGATAACGCCGGCACTGGCTATTTCTTCTCGCAACGTGGCCCAAAGCAAAAAGGATTTCATTTTCTTAAAGACGTTCCGTGTATGCCGAGAGTTTATAAAAATAAAAAAAAGCCCTCTTCTTAACGTGCGTAATACCGGCTGTTCCTTGCTGATATGAGGAATATCTGATCTTGCTCTTCTTTTTTTCACTATTTATTTTCCACTGGTCTGTTACTCTCTGGAATATTCCCCCCCCCCATTTTGTTATGGGAACGGGCAGGCAGAATGAAAGAAAGCCGTCGACATAAGAAAATGCTAAATCCCCCCCCAGCCCAGTTCTCCTCTGAAAATACTTCAAAGTTTATATAAATAGTAACCTCCCCTCCCCTGGTTCGCCTCTCCAATATGGTGCTGCAGATAAATCCAAGTGGCTGCAACACTGGCGATTAATTTCTTGGAGAAGTTTTCGCTCCTTTGTAGAGGGAATGTCATATGAGGGCAAGGGATGTAATAGGCCCTCTACCCCGGGCCCTGTTTCATAATGAAGGCCAGGCCCATGAATTCACTGGGCAGCCGCCACACAGTGGCCCTGCCCTCAACCCTGCAAGCAGCACCGTTTATCCACCTGGTCTTAGATCTGACCCACAACCAAGGCTCCCTCTAAGCTGTGGAGTCTTGTGAGCAAAAATCCTACTTTGTGAGCTACTGGCCTTAAAGCTGTGAGCGAGCATTTGCCTACTGCATTAATCAGTTTGCTCTAGAGCCGTCCCTCCTGAGCTAAGACAAAAATCTCTGAGCCGGAGGCTGTAAAACTGTGAGCTAGCTCACACAAACTCAGCTTAGAGGGAATACTGCCCACAACCCTTTCTCTGCCCCAAACTCTGTATCATGGCTTGGAGTGTTTCTGGTGGTGGTGATGTGCCTCTTGCGCCATCCACAGTGGAAATTCCAGTCTTCGCCTAGCATCTTCGTCCCACAATTCTCCAGTCCCGTGGCTGCTGCAGAGCATTTTTAGGGAGGGCTCCGATTCACCGTCTCACTGTTTTTTCTCCAGCCGGTGGACCGGGCAGCAGAAGTTGTGAGAACCTCATCACGAAAGAAAAATGTCTATTGAGATTTGTTAAAAGCCAATATAAACAAAATGCTGTTCAATCTTAAAAGAGGATTGTTATAGAATAGCGTGCTCAATTGTGAATTGTGTAAATTCCAGAGTTAAGAACTAGGTTGTGTTTGCTGGATATAGGAGACGGTTGTTGCATTTGTCTATGTCTATTTTGGTTATTGTGTTTGTGTGGTGTGTGTTTATTCATAAAAAACCTAATAAATATAGTATTAAAAAAAAAGGATCCCAAGCTTCTTGAGATCTCACCGTGTTGCTGCCCCTTCTTTCTCCTCAGTTGTAGAGAGTTGGTAAAGGTAAAGGTAAAGGTTCCCTTGCTCGAAAGCCCGTCGAATCTGACTCTAGGGTTGCGGTGCTCGTCTCCGTTTCAAAGCCGAAGAGCCAGCGCTGTCCGAAGACGTTTCCGTGGTCATGTGGCCGGCATGACTAAACACCGAGGCGCACGGAACGCTGTTCCCTTCCCACCGAAGTGGTACCTATTTATCTACTTGCAATTTCTTGCTTTCGAACTGCTAGGTTGGCAGGAGCTGGAACTAGAGACGGGAGCTCACTCCGTCATGCGGCACACTCGGGTCTCGAACTGCTGAACTACTGACCTTCCACAGCCTGCAGTTCAGCATCTTAACCACTTGAGCCACCACAGATTTGGTAAATAGCCCTAAAGGCCCCGTGTAGAAGACACAGAGGTGGCAGAGAGAGACTCTTGTCTCTGCAGGAAGCACAAGGGGCTGACACGCTCGATCTGGCCGGGAAAAGGGCGGCATGAGCTTGTCACTGACTCTGCTGGGAAGAGAGTCCGGAGCCGAAGCCCAAAGTGCCCCCCCCTCTCAAGGTGACAGGCCTCACAATAAGGCCTCCTTGGGAGCAGAAGCTCCCTCGGCTTATGGGCTTGGGTTTCCGCCAGCCACTCCTTTTGTCTTGTCAACTTCAGGTGAGTCATCAGCTGGCGAGCGTGATGGATCTCTTCACCACCGGCCTGGCACTGGCAGGACTGCTGCCTCCCAGTGCCAGACACATCGACAGCATCGACCTCTTACCTGTCATCCTGCAGGGCAAGTTAATTGACAGGTGAGTTATGAACACAGCCCCCCCCCCCCCCCCCGCTTAGCTCTTCTGCTCGTTGGTGTGGAGCAGGAACAACTGGCTATTTTTAGAGCTTCTTGCTTCAGGAACTGCTCCTTCTGGGGGGGGGGGCTGAGTAGCGGAGAGGTAGGACTTCGTGTTATTCTGTTCCTAGCTCAGCATATAAAATACGGTGCATTCTAGCTCTGCGAGGACACTGATCAGTCCGGCTGTTTTGTAGAAATACCGTTCCCGGGTTCCTTAAATGGGAGTTCTTATAACTGAGCAGGCTTGAAGCACGTTTATGCAGGGGTCATTTCCTGCCGGAATGCACTGGAACGGCAGTCCGGCAGTAAGAAGCCACGGGGCGGTCCCCCCCCACACCGCCTTTCCTGGCCCGCCTGCCCGCCCAAGGGAAGGGAAAGAAAGGCATTCTAAACATGCCTGCCCTTTGTCAGGGGGCGTGGCATATGCAAATGAGCTCCTGCACCTCTTTTTCTACGAAATGACCCCTGCGTTTATGTGTGTGCCCCGGGAATGTGTATGGCAAGGCCAGAAAGGAATGCGAGCCGTTTTCCGGAGGTCGTTTGGGGGGGGGGGGAACGGGACGGCTCAACAGTAGAGAAGGCATGGCTTGCTCCCAGGAAGTCCCACCGGGGTCGATCCCCTGCGGTCTCTAGCTCAGCTGGGAGAAAGCTCTGTCTCTGTGTGAGGCCTGGCACTGAGCCCACCTGGTCCAATGGTCTGACGTGGTGTGAGTCACCTTCACACGCCCAGCAGTACAGAGGAGGGCAACCGAGAGGAGGAGGGGGCTTGAGCACCTTCCCCAGGAGGACGCAGTTTAGAAAAAAGGATGACTAAGCGAGGTTTATAAAACAGCGCCTGGGGTGGAGAGAGTTGACAAAGCGACGTTTTTCTCCCTCTCTCAAAATACTGGAACTCAAGGGCATTCAGTGAAGCCGACGGGCAGTAGGTTCAGGACAGACAAAAGGAAATATCACTTTACACAGAGAGTGATTAAAATGTGGGATTCACTGCCGGAGGATATGGCCGTGGATTTTGGATTTTTAGGTGGTGCACAAACACCATACTTGTCCCCCCCCCCTCCACGGGGAGTAGGGGGTGGAGGTTTTGATGTCTGCACACACGCTGCTGCATTTGTGTCGATCGGGAGCTCCAGTCATGGATTTCCTATATCGCGTGCCGTTTGGCCCGCCTGCAGGATGGAGCCGACGCAGACTCCCCCTTAGGGGTGTCTGCGTTGCTCTTGCCGCCCTGTGAGCCGTTCCGTCGTCAGCAACTGACCTGCCCTGCTTATGCTGAGAGCATCGGGGAATCTGGGTAGGCAGAGAAAAAGGAGCCCTACTGGCCTCTTTTCTCTCTTCCTGCATTTCGGGAAAACACACCAGCGTGCTTGAGGGCAGATGGGAGAGTAACCGTTTGCCCAGTTAGAGCCCCCCCCCGCCGGTCTGCAGCCCGCTTGCTTGCGCCCAGGGTAAAAACTGGTGCAGCCGGGTACGCTGCGGAGCTGGCCTCCCCCAGCCTCGGTGTCTCCGTCGCACAGGTGCCTGGCTTCCTGGAGTATTTCGAGTCATCGGGCTCTGTGGGAAATTATACGGTCTGGTAGTTCAAGGATTAACAATCCCCGGGAAGATGACTTGCATAACTTTTCATTCTTGCCCAGGCGACGCAGGCTCTCTCTCTCTCTCTCTCTCTCGCCTTGACGGACGCTTTAAAGAATGCTAATTGAAAACCTTGCCGCGGAGGCTATTAGAAGGCCGCCTGCTCCTGACTGATAGCCGAGTTGCCAGTCGGGCTCCCTGGAAGTGTTTGTCTCCCTTATCTGCGCGGCTGCCAAAAAAAACCCTTGTTTGGACATGTTGCATTTCTCATGCGGCTGTACGTCTCTCTCTCTCTGTCCCCTCCCCACCCACAACCCCCCCTCCTCCCCTTCTCGCAATCAGGCCAATATTCTATTACCGTGGCAACGAGATGATGGCGGTGAGGACTGGGCTGTACAAGGCCCATTACTGGACCTGGAGTAACTCCTGGGAGGAATTCGGCCAGGTAACTGAAAACCTTCCCCCCCCCCTTCCTGTAGCACACTCCTGCGGCAGCATGCCCTCTTCCCCCCACCAGTGACATCCCCAGTCGTCAACAGGCTCCATCTTCGAGTCATTCGAATTCAAGCCACCGTAAACGGTGGGGCAGGGTGGCCCTCTTCAGACCCGCTGCTCACCTGGGGAGGGCCTGCGGCTCAGAGGCAGAACAGCTGCTCGGCATGCAGAAGGTCCCAGGTTCAACCCTCGGCCTCTCCACTTGCAGTCGGTGATGGGAAAGACCACGGCGTCAGACTCGGGAGAGCTGCTGCCAGTCTGCGTAGACAGTATGGACCTTGGTGGACCGAGGGTCTGCTTCACACATTCATGTGCTTGCACTGACAGTTGGAGTTGTACTACCTTCTGATCAGTGTCTCCGCTAAGCTGAGTGTCAAGCCCGCCCTGGGCTCCGGGCGTAGCACCTCCCGTGGCCATGGCGTCCCAAGGCAGGGGAGGTCCGACGGCTCTGGAAGTGGAGGCCTGTTAAAGAAGAGGGGGAGCGTTGGGGCTTCAGATGGGTAGGGGACGGAGTTTAATGGCACTCCGTAGGTCCCTCTGTCGAGTAGCAAAGGGCGGGGTATAAATCCAGTCTCTCTTCTTCCTCTTCTAACTGTGGGGAGTCCTTTTTGCATTTGTGGAGGAACCCACAGAACCGAAGTCTGTTGCAGTCTTACACGTGCAGTCTTACACGTGCAGTGTAAGTTCGGCCTCTCAGATTTCTCTGTTCTCTTGTGTGAATGGACAGGGTGGGCTGCACCTCTTCCGTGGCTACCAAGGAGAAGCTGCCTTCCAAGGAAGCCTGTTGGCTATTACTGATCTGCCCATTGTGGAAAAGTCCCTGATAAGCCTCCAAGGAGTCCCGGCGCCTTCCAGACCCTGGCTGGGATGCTGCTGGTGATGGTTCCGATGGCTGGCAATTTCCCAGGTCTCAGGCAGGGGTTGAGTTCAACCGCACTACCTGAATTCCATTTAAGAAGCCTGTATTGTGCCAGAGAGGGATTGGGCAAGCATTTTTCAGATGCAGGAGACGGTGCTGTACTTTAATCTAGTGCGGAGAACTAGAACCCAGAGTCTGGTCTAGTGACTAGGAGTATAAAGGGGGAAGGCGAAGCATCTTCTAATTCAGCATGACCCATGTAAAAGCCCCTCGATCCTTGTTGGCGCTGGGCGTACAAACGGCAGCCGCAGCCGCAGATCTGATCCCAGCAAAAGTGACACTTTCTCCTCTGCCCCCGAGACTGGAAAACTCTGTGTTTGTTCGAGCATCTTCCGAGGCCCCCCTCAGCTGTCCCTGGGAAGCCTGCGGTACGCAGAATAATATCACCGGAATCAGTTCCCTGCCCTCCTGGCAGAATCGTGAGCCCACTTCACTTTGAAAGGTATAATCAGCCTGCCAGACTCGTGGCGTTACCACTTGCGCAGTGCCTGGGAGTTTAGCGCTTTAGTTAAGAATGAGGAAGGCTCGAGAAGGAAGACGTGTTCTCAGCAGCAGCGTTGTGCTTCCAGGAGCATAAGATAGTTTTGGCAGTGAATCATACTTACCAAGCACCCAGTTCAGTGCTCGGCTCTCCAGAGTCAAAAGCACTGTGAACAGGGCACTGTGCTGGCATTCGTCCCCCCCCCAATATGCGCCGGGGTGGGGTGGGGGCTGCCTGATGTCCAACCCAACTTGATCTTGTGTGCTTTGCTGTGTATTGGGCAGAGCCCCCGCTGCCCTCTTGATGGATATTCTTGGTTCTTTCAAGTCTAAATTTGTCTTACGTCAAGAGGGAGTGGTCCCTGACGGTTCCTGCCGCCCTGCCCCTGCCAGTTTGGTGAAGTGGTTAAGTGCGCAGACTCTAATCTGGGAAAACCGGGCTTGATTCCCCACTTCCTCCACATGCTGCTGCTGGTGTGACCTTGGGTCAGTCACAAGTTCTTTCAGAGCTGTTCTCCCAAGGGCAATTCTCTCAGAGCTCTCTCAGCCCCACCCACCTCACAGGGTGTGGGGAGGGGAAGGGAAAGGAGATTGGAAGCCGCCTTGAGACTCCTTTGGGTAGTGAAGGGCAGGGTATAAATCCAATCTCCTCCTCCTCCTCCTCCTCCTCCTCCTCCTCCCGGCGGACTCTAATCTGGAGAACTGGGTTTGATTCCCCCACTCCTCCACGTGCAACCAGCTGGGTGACCTTGGGTCAGTCACAGTTCTCGGAGAGCTGTTTTCTCAATAGCAGTTCTCAAAAGAGCTCTCTCAGCCCCACCTACCTCACAGGGTGTCAGCCCCACCATCACCCTCCTCCCCCCCCTCCTCCTCCTCCTCTTCTTCTTCTTCTTCTTCTTCTTCTTCTTCTTCTTCTTCTTCTTCTTCTTCTTCTTCTTCTTCTTCTTCTTCTTCTGCCATTCAAAAAAACAGCAAGCTACAGAGACTAGTTTTAGTGATGCACACGTAATCCCCACATTCCACCTCTAGTTGTTTGGTATCTCACGTGTCAGAAGGAAGCACATGTCGCTTAGAGGGACCCCTTCCTCTCTGTGCTGGGCCCTGCGGGGGCACATCCATTGCAAAGGCAGTCTGATCTGTCCTGGCGAGAGACGTCAGGAGTAATGTTTCCTCTAAGCCAGTTTGGTGTAGTGGTTAAGTGCGCGGACTCTAATCTGGGAGAACTGGGGTTGATTCCCCACTCCTCCACTTGTACCTGGCTGGATGACCCTGGGCACTCCTCCACTTGCAGCTGCTGGATGACCTTGGGCAAGCCGTAGTTCTGACAAGAGCTGTCCTTGAAAAAGAGCCGTTTCTGTCAGAGCTCTGTCAGCCCCGCCTACCTCACAGGGTTGTTGTGGGGAGGGGAAGGGAAAGGAGTTTGTAAGCCGCTCTGAGACTCCGTTGGGTAGTGAAGGGCGGGGGATAAATCCAATCTCTTCTTCTTCTTCTTCTTCTTCGATGAGTTAATGTGAGCTAGCTCAGTTTTTTAGCCTCCAGCTCGAAGATTTTTGTCTTCGTTCAGGAAGAATGGCTCTAGAGCAAACTAATTTATGCAGTAGCCAAATCACAGCTTTAATGCCAGGAGCTCACAAAGTAGGATTTTTGCTCTAAGGACTCCACAGCTTAGAGGGAGCCTTGGGGAGCAGAAAAAAAAGGCGGCTGAATGGTGCTTTACTTCTCCCCATCTCCCGTTTTACTTTATGTATAGGTAAAGGTAAAGGTTCCCTTGCTTGAAAGCCAGTCGAATCCGACTCTAGGGTTGCAGTGCTCATCTCCGTTTCAAAGCTGAAGAGCCAGCGCTGTCCGAAGACGTTTCCGTGGTCATGTGGCCAGCATGACTCAACACCAAGGTGCACAGAACGCTGTTACCTTCCCATTGAAGCGGTATCTATTTATCTACTTGCAATTTCTTGCTTTCGAACTGCTAGGTTGGCAGGAGCTGGAACTAGAGACGGGAGCTCACTCCATCATGCGGCACCTGGGTCTCGAACTGCTGAACTACTGACCTTCCACAGCCTGCAGTTCAGCGTCTTAACCACTTGAGCCACCGCAGCTCTACTTTATGTATATGCGCGTGTATTTATTTATCTGGATTTACTTTATCTTCTGCCTTTCTCCCCACTGGGGACCCAGAGCGGCTTACGTCACTCTCCTCTCCTCCATTTTATCCTCACGACAACCCTATGAGGTAGGCCAGGCTGAGAGAGTGTGACTGGCCTAGGGTCACCCAGCCAGCTTCCCTGGCCACGCGTGGGGATCTGAACCTGGGTTTGCCCAGACCCTCGTCCAACTCTTTAATTGCTACACCACGCTGGCTGTCTTTATCCTTCTCTTCTCTCTTCTGTTTTTTTTTTGCCCACCACCTAAATCCAGTCAGAAGCTTTCTTTCAGCGGTTCTTGTCTTGCTTCTGTGGCAGTGGGACTCCGCGTTTGTGGGTCTGGTGTTGGAGCTCATCCTGCCAGCACTGCTGATCCGTGTTCCCTCTAAGTAAGTTCCCTCTAAACTGAATTGGTGTGAGCCAGCTCACAGTTTTTGAGCCTCCGGCTCACACATATTTGTCTCCGCTCAAGAAGGGCGGCTCCAGAGCAAACTAATTTATGCAGTAGCCAAATCGCTCACTCACAACTTTAATGCCAGTAGCTCACAAAGTAGAATTTTGGCTCACAAGACTCCACACCTTAGAGGGAGCATTGCTTCTGATCCTCCTCCTTGGCCATTGCTTCTGCTTCTCTCCCTCCTGTTCTGTCTTGGGGCCCCGTTCCCCAATTCACCGGAGAAAAGGGGGTTCTCCTGGACTGGGGCAGCCTCTCTTCCGCCCCATCCACTAGGTCAACAGGAAGGCAAAGATGAAAAGTCTGATAATGGCGCATTGTTCTGTTCTGCTGGAAGCATTTAACATACACGAGTATGCTCTGTCTCTGTCTCTGTCTCTCTCTCTCACACACACACACACACACACCTCCATTGGAAAGAAGAGCGTAGGCCCCTACATCTGACCTGAGCCTTTTCCTTCCCCGTCTAGGCAGGGAGGCTGTGATAATGGGGGCCGGTGGCTCATTTCCAGGGTTGTCCTCCTGCGAACGGTGGCAGCCGTGCAATTAAGGAATGTTTATTCCTTCCTAAGTCTTTGTTTAACTGCTGGTTGATAAAAGTCAGCAATTACACTGTACATCAGAGGGATGATTAAAAATTCATTTGCTTTCCCGCCGCTGGTGTCGTGTGTGGTTGATGTCATTGAAATTGGAGCACGGAATTAGTGGACAGAACAGTCATTAACAGCACGCAGAGGGTGCAGGGGTTGAAATTTGTTCAAATCCTTCTTCTGGTGTTCAGGCATTAATTACAGCCCTGGCTATCTGTTTGTTTGTTTGTTTGTTTGCTGAATATTGCTGCGCTTTCGATTACAGATACTGGGAAGCATTCCCAAGGTGTAATGGCTACGTATCTCCTTTTCACGGCCTCCAGTTTTCTTATCGATATTATTGATACCGGGTTCGGGAATCACAAA